AATCACTGATTCACAAAACCTGAGTTGGATGCCCAGACTCCTAATACAATGAATAGGGAGACACAAATGCCTTAGACAGTGATCCACAAACACCAGTATGCTAGGCAGGGAGCCACCTAAGCTAGGCAATGGGAGATGCTGACCAGGTGTGTGTGCACTAAGATTCACCCCTCTCACAGAGTTAGGCACCTAAGTCTGGGCTGCAGGGAGGTGCCTATCTCTACCAGCAATTCTCAGCTGTGAACCATTTCCTGTATTTAGGTACCTACGCTGTTTTAACAAGAAGCTGGAGGTGGGGGTTGGGGAGGGAGGACCTCCTGCATAACTTTTAGCCCAGTGGTTAGCATTCTCACCTGAGATATGGGAGACCCCCAGTTCAAGGCTCCTTCTCCATCTGAGGGAGAGAAGGGATTTGAACAGGATTTTGCCACCTCTCAGATGAGTTATGAGGGAGGGCTGCCTCTTCCCCGACCCAAACCCACTCCACTGTTTTTTTGTGAACTCATCTGAGGGACCTGATCTGGTAGGTGTGCTTAGACAGTGCTTACTGGATTGGGTCCCACACACAACATAGGTGGCCAAATGCCTATCATCTCCTGGTTTGTAAATTGCTCTGGGGCTTAGGTGGGAGATGGGCCTCTGGATGCCTAGTGGGAGGCCTTTGGACACCTAGAGGGAGGCAGCAGTCTTTACGCTCAGAGGCAGGAACATAGGTGCCTCGGGAACTTTTACTGAAAAAACATTAGATGACAAGTAAGTTCAGGCGCCTACAGGGTTCAGAGGGAATTTCTTGCATTGCTGTGGTCGCAAAACTGGGAGTTAGGTACCTGACTCCTTTTGTGCATCCAGGCCTAACTGTATTTCCTGTTGTCTTGGTTTAGAAGTTGCTTGGGATTGAGTTTTCTGAGAAGTTTGAAGACTAAGGGCCATATCACATGGGCATAGACAAGTGGGGCTTTGAGGTCTTTTTCGTCCTCCTCCTCCCCTTCCCCCCTCACCCCCAAATTAGGGATTCCATTAATAAATAAAGGAAATACTGAGTTTGGAACAAAAGATCATTTTTCTCACTTCATTAAAAGTGGATTAATTTAGTCATGGTATAAAACTATTAAATCATAGTATTAAAGCCATATTTAACAATTATATTTAACAACTATATACAACTATATTTAACAGCTGTTGTTTTATTATTTAACTCTGGCCCTCCCCAAATAAAAAAAGCTGTCTGTCCTTTTATCAAATCCCCTTTACTGCCTCTAGCCCACTGGAAAAGGACTGGAGGCCCAGGAAACTCCCCATGGTTTATCTCCCATTGCCAACTATTCCTCTTTTAAGGGGGAAAGGAGTTTGCTAAAGGGGGAGGGGGCTCACTGAGGAAGTAGATTGAACGGTGTCCAAAATCAGGGGATTCACAAGAGAAGCAGCTCCAACTATGCAGTAAGTCTATCCCTCTGATTCTGCCTGGTTTTGTGGCATCATGGTCCCTTTGAGGTCTTTCATGGTATTAATAAGACAAGTGGTTCTCAACCAAGGGTCTGGGGCCCCCTTGGGGGCCACAAGCAGGTTTCCGAGGGTCTGCCAAGCAGGGCCAGCATCAGACTCGCTGTGAAGAAAGCCAAAGCCCCACCACATGGGGCTGAAGCCCAGGGCCTAGAGCCCCGCCACCCGGGCTGAAGCCGAAGCCTGAGCAATGTAGCTTCACGGGGGCCCCTGTGGCATGGGGCCCCAGGCAATTGCCCTACTTGCCACCTCCTAACGCAGGTCCAGGTTGTAAAAGATGTGACGAAGGAAAGATGGCCCAAAGCTAACACAATTCAAGACAAAGAAGGGAACAGTCTTACTGAAGAAAGGTAGACAAACTACTGCTCTGATCTATACAAACACCAGACAAATGGAGATCTTAGTGCCTTAGACAGCCCAGATTCAACAGAGGAGGAGAACTTTCCAATTCCACATGAAGAAGTGGAGACAGCTGTGAAATCACTCAAGAACAGAAAGGCTATAGGTATTGACAACATCCCAGCCAAATTGATGAAATTCAGAGGAGAAATAGTAATAGATGTACTCACCAAGATCTGCAACAAGATCTGGCAGACCAGTGAGTGGCCCTCCATGTGGACATAATTCCTAATCATCACACTGCCAAAGAAAGGCAACCTGCAATTGTGTCAGAATGACTGGATCTTAAGCTTAATTAGCCATCCCAGCAAAGTGATGCTGAAAGTCATATTGAACAGATTGAAGCCACAAGCAGAGAATATCATTGCTGAGGAACAGGCTGCCTTTCGTGCTGGAAGAAGTACCACAGAACAGGTTTTCAACCTTCGTGTTCTATGTGAGAAGTACTTATAACACCAGCAGGACATCTACCACGTCTTTGTTGACTTCAAGAAGTCGTTTGGCAGAGTATGGCATGAAGCTCTCTGGGCAGCCACGAAGAATTACAATGTTGGTCATAAGCTTATTCTTACCATTATACAACTGTATGCCAAGGCTGGCAGTGCAGTTCTCGTCAATGGCACAGTAGGAGAGTGGTTTAGCATACACTGTAGGAGTACGGCAAGGCTGCCTTCTTTCGCCCACACTGTTCAACATCTACTTGGAGCGCATAATGACTGATGCGCTAGAAGATCACATATGCACAGTCAGCATTGAGTGGTGACCAATCTCAAATCTTCGGTTCACTGATGACACTTATGGCCTGCCAGGTAGTGAAGATGAACTTGCCAACCTTGTGAAATGATTGGCTGAAACCTCCCTAAAATATGGCATGGAAATCAGTGCAGAGAAAACCAAGCTGATCACAAGCAAACATGATGGGATCAGCTCATCTATCACTGTCAGTGGAGAAGAGCTGGAGACAGTGGAACAGTTCAAGTATTTGGGGGCAGTCATCACTGATGAAGGATCCAAGGCAGAAATTCAGGCAAGAACTGCGCAAACAGCAGCAGCAGTGGCAAAGCCAAAGCCAATTTGGGGGAATAAGAACATCTCTCTGGAATCCAAACTGAAACTGCTGCATGCATTGGTCATCTCCATTTTTCTGTATGTGTGCGAGACATGGACCCTTACAGCAGAACTTTAATGGAAAATACAGGTAGTAGAGATGAGATGCTGCCGTAAAATCCTGGGCATCTCCTACTTCGACCACATCACTAATGAAGAGGTCCGCAACATCATCACCCAATGCGCTGGGTCATATGAGGACCTCCTGACGACCATGAAGAAGTGCAGGCTGAAGTTACAGCCATGTAACAAGATCATCTGGCCGATCCAAGATCATCCTCCAAGGGACAGTACAGGGGAAGAGAAGAAGAGGTAGACAGAAGAAGAGATGGACTGACAACGTAAAAGAGTGGACAGGAATGGACTTCGGAGACTCAAGCACTGACACACAATTGTCAGGGGTGGAGACAATTGGTTGATTGCTCATCGATAATGGTGCCTCAACGACCAATGCAGTTATGGGAGTGATGATGATGAATGCAGGTCCTGGCTTTTTTATGCATGAAATTGGTTATTGTGGCACAGGTGGGCCATTGAGCTTTTATAGTATGTTGCGGGGGGGGGGGGGGGGGACCTCAGAAAGAAAAAGGTTGAGAACCCCTGAATTAGACTAGTTGAAAGAAAAGGAGTCGAAGGGGACTGGCAGTTCAAGCTATTTCAATGCAGAGAAAAGAGAAGAAGAGCCACAGGAGGCCAGTGTGGCTGCACAAAGAGCTTTTTAGCTATCTAAAAAACAAAAGGGATACATACAGGAAATGGAGGGAGGGGCATGTCACCAAGGAAGCATACATGGGAATAGCGCAAGCATGTGGGGACAAAATCTGGAAAGCTAAGGCAAAGAATGAGTTACAGCTGGCAAGAAATGTTAGAGACAACAAGAAGGGGTTCTTCAAATATGTCAGACAAAAAAGAAAGATCAGGGATGGTGTAGGTCAATGGAGAAGGGGAGTTGGTAATGGAAGATGATAAGAAGGCAGAGCTTCACAATGCCAACTTTTTTTCAGTCTTCTCACAAAAAATAATATGTGACCAGACAACTAACTAACAAAGTTACCCTGGACAATAAAGGGGAAGGAATGCAGATTGAGATAAGTAAAGAACTCATCAGAGGTCTTCTGACCAATTTGAATGAATTCAGGTCAGTGGAGCTGAATGCTGTTCACCCTAGGGTGCTGAAGGAATTAGCTGAAAAAATCTCAGTGCCTCTGGCAGTAACACTGACAAACTCATGGATGACAGGAGAGGTCCTGGAAGACTGGAGAAGGGCTAACATAGTGACCATCTTTAAAAAGGGGGAAAAGGAAGGGCCGGGAAACTATAGACCAGTCGGCCTGACCTCGATACCGGGAAAGCTACTAGAGCAATGTATAAAACATTCAATTTGCAAATACCTAGAGGATGAAGGGGTGATCACTAGCATCCAGCATGGATTTACTAAGAACAAATCATGCCAAACCAACTTGATTTTGAATGGGTTCAAACTATAGCATAGCAGATTTAGATTAAAGCTCAGGAAAAATTTCCTCACTGTAAGAAAAAGTAGGACAATGGAACAAACTGTCTCAGATGGTTTATACGCAGCAAATCCTGCGTCTTGGCAGGGGGTTAGACTAGATGATCCTTGTGGTCCCTTCTAGCCCTATGATTCTACTGTGGTTCCTTTAGGAGCCATGCTGCCTTTGGATTCACCTTCACTCCTCCAGGCAGAAGTTAATGCTATGAGGAGCACCATTAACTTCTGTGGGGCCAGACAGTTAGGAGGGGAATATGCCCCATAGAACAGCTGCTTCCCTCCCTATTAGCAGTAGATAAGTATGTTGCATTTTTCTATTAGACTTTTGTAGTTATAAATGGTGATAATAATTAATAAAAACGTTTGCCTCTGAGTTGTGTGTGAAGGAAGCTTCTGTACAGTAATTGAACAGTATGCCAATTTTATAAATTAAGCTAAGTTTGTTTTATAATATTGTGATACTTTTCTATATCTTTTCCAGAACAAAATACAGCATAGTTTGACTGCATCATTCACCATAACAGGAGAGGAAAAGACTAAGGTAACACTGAATCATAGATAATTGACTATATGTGGTACTTCTAAGGATTCCTCTGCTTACCTCTTTTGGGTAGTAAAAAAGTGCTTTCTGGGTGCCAAATTGTGACTCTTTTACTTATAAATTAGTCCCATTGAAGTCAGTTACAGGAATTAAATTAAGGAACTACTTGTGTGAATAAGGCAATCACAATTTGGCCTTTGCTTTGTTTGGCCAATGCTTATGACTGTGAATTGCAAATGAGGTTTTTCCTTCTGTTACCCAAACAGAGCAGGCAGAAGAGAGGCTTATATTTAAGCACCAGAATTCTTAATGTAGAAGCTATGTGGCTTTATGCTATATTCAGATCCAGTTTTCCAAATGGAAGGCTGTGCAACCCCAGAGAATGGCAACGAGCATGCTAACTTGCTGCTGGGCATATCCAGCATGAATTGGGTTTTTTGTTTCCAGTGCTCATTCCAGAAGGGTGCAAGTTGTCTTACAGCTACTAAGGAGTGGCACTACACACTATGCTGATTCTAATACCCGTGCTGGGGGACTGGATGGGGAAAAATTCAGTAGAAAAGGAATAGTTTAATTTCCATCCTGCTCTTTGATCAGTCATGCCTCCAATATGTATTTCTGTTCTTTTACTAGTGACGTATGTGGCTGCTAATGGTCCAAATAAGCCTGCAGAATAACATTGATTTTAGCAAGCAGTGCTGTTTGTCTCTCATTTTTCCATTAGAGAACGTCTCGCTGCATCTATCGCTTACCTTGCTAGAGTAATTTCTTCACCTAAACTCATTCTCTGTCTCCCCCATCTCCTCCCCCTTTTGTTACCCATGCAGGCTGTTTCATTGTAGGGAATCTTTATTAAGTAGTGGTGGCCAGAGTGGTGGGAACACTGATCACTTGCACTCAGGCAGTAGAAAATAGTTTATTTCACCGCAAAGCTATGTTGCCATGGCTGTGTCATTTAAAGTCTAAAGGTCATATAGATAGGACAATTGCCGAACAAGTGGAAATGGAGAGGAAATATTGCAGACGCGTACTGCATAAAAGCAGCAGCATTTGTGCAGTGTCTGAGTAAACAGGAATTGGCATTCCACTGTGAAGGTGAAGTTATGGAATCTTCAAGGAAAGAGAACAGTGAGAATTAAAGGGCTACTGTACGAGTTTGATATTTTCTTTTCTGTTGTATGATTTGTATGGGGAAGAGAATTACTAGCAAATACTCCACCGTCTCGGATTTCTCAAAGCCAAAGGGATAACAATATGTCCAGGTAACTTTCAAAATTGAAATCGTTTCTTCTGCCACCAGTAAATGTTGGCTGACCTTTGAGCTGATTTCATATTTTTACAAAGTAAAGAAAAGTTCCAGGGCAGATAAAATATTTTATAGATTCGGAGTGAAAAGCACCTAAGTGCCATTTTCAAAAGGGACTGAGGAGCCTAAGGACTTGTCGAAACAGGGACACTCAGGAAGGTTAATACAAATTAACTAAAGGTGTGAATTTAAGGTGGGTTAGTTAAACGGTATTAAACCCCTGTATGTATGCTCTTACTCAGAATTAAAGTGGCCTTAATTCAGTTTAGTTTAATTCTCAAAGTTTACAGGACTACATAATGCAAACGAGGTACCATTTAGTTCACTCCCACAGGGTCTACGCAGGGCAGTTATAGCACAGTGCAGCACACTAGTGTGTGCTCCAGTTCACACCTGATTGGTCCAAACTGCGGGGCCATGTAGACAAACCCTTAAGCTCCTAAGTGCCTAAGTTTCTTTTGAAATTTCTGAACACTCAAAAGTTCCAGAATTAGGGTTCTCTGAATGTTGCTTTAAAAAGGAGGTTAGAACAAAATATTGAATAGCTGCTCCTTAAGTGAGGACCATCTCCCCTACTCACTGAATGAGGCTGGGATCGGGATCCTGTGGGGAAAATAATATGTAACCATATAATTAAGCACTGTATAAATAATGCATAGAGACAAGGGGACCAAATTAAGGTTGCACAGTCAACCTTAATTCTGGCATTTCCTAGCTTTTGAGTGCTTGACTTTGCAACTTAAATAATGTTCTTTTAATGTAATTTGTTGTATGTAATATAATTTTGGCTGCTTTCAAGGTGATCAGTGTTTTGTCCTATTGAAAAAAATAAGTTAATAAGATGGTTTCCTTTTGCTCTCCTTTTCCCATCTATTTTATTCCTACCCTAATGCTCATTGATAGAGCATAAATAGAAAGAGTCAGGAGATGGACCACAAAAATGATTTAGAGGCTTAGAAAGACTGCTGTTTATGGAGAAAGTGTGCATATTGGAACTGTTTTAGTTTAGAGATGGGACAGCTAAATGGTGCATGAGAGAGGTAACCAGAATAATGATTGGTATATTGGAAGAGGTAAGGTGGGTAAGGCAGTATCTCTTACTGGACCAACTTCTGTTGGTGGAAGAGACAAGCTTTCAAGCTCCACAGACCTCTTCTTCAGGTCATGGAAGTAAATCAGGAACTCTTATTTGCCATTTTTTTTTCATAATACAAGAAGAAGGGATCTTCAGTTAAATTGAAAGACAAAAAATTTAAAATTTATAATGTGAAGTATTTTTCCCATAGTGCATTATTAAGGTGGGGGACTTAGTGCCACTGAATAAGAGCTTAGAATTTTTTGAAAAAATAGGCATTTAAATGGATAACAACAGTATTCACAGTTACTTTAGAGAGAACTTTTAAAAATTTAGGTTCTAAGCTCTCTTGCTAAGGGGCATTAGTCATTCATTAACTGACAGGGTTAAGAAAAACATTCTTTATGGGTAGCTTATAAGTTCGTCTGAAGCAGCTGCTACTAGCCATAGTGTGAGACAAGGTGCTGGGCTGCTGGTCTGATTTAGTATTGCAGTTCCCGCAGAATATTACTATAACTTCAAACTTCTGTACTACTATTTTCCAGTTCTGGCCTGATTCTTAGACCTCATTGAGATCTGCAAAACAGGCGATATTCGAACAAAACTGGTTCAACTATTTTTTTGGGCTACACGTGCACATTTGTCATTAGAACTTAAAGGGGAAAGTATGTGGTATATTCTGTTGTTTAAAAATATATTTATAGAGCTCAAAAAGGCTGAATGGATTTTGTTTTCCACACACAATATTTCCTTATGGGCTGAGACCAAGCATGAAACATTTCAGAAAAAATCGGATTTGCATGAGAAAACTATGAGTAATGGAAAAAAGGAGAGGTGGGTTGTAGTTCATCCTTAACAACAGCTGTCACTAATGCTCCCGGTCTAGTTTCTTATATGCAAGACTGCTCAAATCTAAGTGCATGCAATCCATGTGAAGGCAATGGTTTTACATATTTGGGCGGTAATTTGACTTTTAGCACAGAGTGCTAAATAATTAATTCTGTATTTATGATAGCGCCATGTTTTAAGTTAGTCCCAAAGAGCTGTCAACCCTCAAATGGTCTGATTACTTACATGGTTGAAAGAAAAGGAGTACTTGTGGCACCTTAGAGACTAATAAATGTATTTGAGCATAAGCTTTCGTAAGCTAATGTATCCGATGAAGTGAGCTTCACGAAAGCTTATGCTCAAATAAATTTGTTAGTCTCTAAGGTGCCGCAAGTACTCCTTTTCTTTCAACCATGTAAGTAATCAGACCATTTGAGGGTTGACAGCTCTTTGGGACTAACTTAAAACATGGCGCTATCATAAATACAGAATTAATTATTTAGCACTCTGTGCTAAAAGTCAAATTACTGCCCAAATATATTTGTTAGTCTCTAAGGTGCCACAAGTACTCCTTTTCTTTTTGCGGATACAGACTAACACAGCTGCTACTCTGAAACCTTACGTGGTTGACATGCCACTCTTTAAAGTTTTATAAACCTTGTATATTTTCTCTTTTGCTTCACTGGAGTAAAATGCTTGGTTGCCTAAAACAAGTTAGTTCCATGGCCTGGAAAAAAATGTGAGTGCTATTTGAGTGGCATGCAGATGCCTTGCAACTCTGCTCATTAGGGTCTGTGAAAACTGCTTGCCTCTGTTTCTGGCTGAATGTTTTTAATGCTAAGTAAGAAGCTGTTTAGATAGCAAAAACTGCACGCAAAAAGTTCTCCTGTTATGTGCATCTCATGGTGGGCATAATAATAAATACTGTGCACACCTATGGCCTGACTTTCCATCATTGTCAGCACCTATAGCTTCCATTCAAGTCAAAGGGAGTGCAGCATCTCTGAAAACCAGATCAATAATGACTTCTGGAAGTTCACACCATGAATGAGTAGCAGGAGTAAGAGAGAGGGCAAAAAATAAACCTTAGTTAAGCAGTTGTTTAACTGATTACCCATACCACCTTTCTTAGGGTTCTCTGAATTTCTATTGCTTAATGAAAAGGAGTACTAGTGGCACCTTAGAGACTAACCAATTTATTTGAGCATAAACTTTCGTGAGTTACAGCTCACTTCATCAGATGCATTCAGTGGAAAATACAATGAGGAGATTTTCCACTGAATGCATCCGATGAAGTGAGCTGTAGCTCACGAAAGCTTATGCTCAAATAAATTGGTTAGTCTCTAAGGTGCCACTAGTACTCCTTTTCTTTTTACAAATACAGACTAACACAGCTGCTACTCTGAAACCTATTGCTTAATGGTGGATGGTGACTTTGTTTTAATGTTTTGACTAAGATCATGTCTACACTACAAACTTTGGTTACTGCTGCAGTTAGTATATCTCTTGTGCGCATGCATACTTGTCTCTGTGCGTCGGTGCTGTGGGTATTCACCAAGAGTTCTGATATTGATGCACAGTGCAGTGCACCATGGGTAGGTATCCCGGTGTGGAAGCTGCCACTGTCCAGCCCACTGTCTTTTGGGAAGTTGTGGCAATGCATGGTGGGGCCACAAGTTGAACAGAGGTGACAGGGTGCAAGGGGTCGACTTCCCAGCATGCAACTGTTTCCACCCCATAAAATATCATCTATATCCCATAATTTTTTCAAAACCACATGAATTCACATGGCCTGCCTCGCTACCTGCCATTTCTGGCAGAAACCTGGAGCCTGAACAGCTCTTCACTGTTGTCATAAGGGTTGCAAGCACAGGACATGCAAGCCTCCAGTTTTTGCAGAGCTGCAAGAATAACTGAATAATCAGGGCACATGATGATTTGTTGCAGAACAGATTTCTGTGGGACATAGCGAGAACCAGTTCAAGGTTGTTGGTGGCAGTCATGGAACAACTGCAGACATTGCATCGCCGAGAAACAAGCCCTGGCCAATGGGATTGTATCGTAATGCAGGTTTGGGATGATGAGCAGTGGCTTCAGAACTTTTGGATGCACAAGGCCACATTCCTGAATCTGCATGCTGAGCTTGCCCCAGCCCTCCAGTGCAGGGACACCAGAATGGGAACTGTACTGACAATGGAGAAGCAAGTGGAGATCACACTGTGGAAACTTGCAATGCTAGATTGCTACCTGTCAGTGGGAAATGCGGTTGGAGTTGGAAAATCCACCGTGAGAGCAATTGTCATGCAAGCATGCAGGGCCATTTATTGCCACCTGCTATGCAAGACAGATTCTTGGCAATGTGCTGGATGTAGTGGATGGATATGCAGCAATTGGGTTTCTGAACTGTGGTGGAACAACAGATGGCGCACACAGCTCTATTTTGGCAGTAGACCACCTTGCCACAGAGTACATCAACAGAGAGGCTACTTTTCTGTGGTTATGCAAGCACTGGTGGATCACTGGGGATGCTTCACCAAATTTAGTGTGGGTTGATCAGGGAAGGTGCATGACACTCGCACCTTTAAGAACAGAGGACTTTTCAGAAAGCTACAAGCCGGGACTTTTTTTCCTGACTTCCAGAGTACCACTGGCAATGTTGAAATGACAGTAGTCATCCTGGGGGACCCAGCCTATCCCTTGCTCCTGTGTGTTGTGTAGCCGTACGTTGGCCAACTTGATAGAAGCAAGGAAAGATTCAACTACCGGCTCAGCAAGTGCAGAATGACTGTGGAATGTCGTATTGGTCGATGGAAGGGATGCTGGCATTGTTTATTCACAAGATTGGATCTCAGAGAGAAAATTAACCCAGTGGTTATGGGTGCCTCCTGTGGCCTGCATAATAGGGGGGGGAAAAGCAAAGAGAGAAAAATTGCTGCTGGAGTGGAGGGCAGAGAGAGATAGAGTAGCTCTGAGTTTGAACAGCGAGACACCAGGGCTATTAGAAGAGCTCAATGAAGTGCTCAGTGCAGAGCAATGTGGCTCATGGAGGCTTGGAAGGAGCTCTTTAACAGTGAGCTTCAGTAACACTTAGTGGTATACTGTGCTCTACCTTTCCCTGCAGTTTTGGCGCCTGTTAAGAATTGTATAGTGCTTGATGTACATCTATGAATATAACACTGTCAATGCAGTTATTAATTTTGTGGTGCTTACTGTACATTTATTATTATTACACTGTATATGTCATTGATCCTATGAGTTATGTCACACTGTACAGTAACAAGTAAGTGGAGGTTTTTGGGACTGCTAGGCACCCTGCAGCATTTGTTGTGAACTAATAAAGATGAATTATGTTCCAAATAATGGAATTTTATTCAGTAACAACATCATTTGAAAAGAAAAATCAGTGCAATATAAAAGAAAATACGTTTAAAACTCAATAAAGTAATAGAACTTTTCAAGAGGAAAGAACATTTATGACCATTTTAGCTACACATACAGCTAGCTTGGCTTTCACAATGTGAAGCCGTCATTGTCCTTAATGTCCCCCGGTGTGGAGTTGTGGGGGAAGAGCCTGTGGGCAGGGTCAGTGCGCGGAGGCTCCCTGGCCCCCTGCCTAGGAGCTGCTGCCAGAGGGATGTGCCGGTCGCTTTAAGGCGCTGCAACCTAAGTAATTAGAGGACTGGAGATAATTGACATATGATGAAATATTTTTGAAAAGATATAAGTATGTATAGGTTAGCTAAGTGACTATTCAAAGTGTGTGTGGAGTGGAGGAGATATAAGTCTGCAGCTCTGTGAAGGGCATAAGAGAGAGGAGTTGTTGGACATTATACAATAATGTTACAAATGAATATGATACAAATATTTGATATTTCTGTGCTGAAAAAAGTAACTTTAATTAAACCCAGAAAAAGATTAGTGTGGGGTTTGGAGTAGGGATAATAACAGGAGGGGGATAAGAGTGGTATTAATATCAGCCTGTACTTTCTGAATGTACTTTTTAGGAGTAGAAGATAATACAAAGGGACATAACTGGTAGTAACTGGCTGAACTTCAGAAAGGAGGAAATTTAAGATGAGAAAAAACTTCTAGATATTAAGAAGTTAGTAATTTATTAGTGAAATGGGTAAATGACTGTTGGTACTTTTTTCATTTAGTAATTTCAGGCATTGATGTGTTGGATCATATTAAAGAAGTTCTGTATTAAAATCACAAATGAGTTTGATTCCCCAGAGTTTAAATTCCAGGGTATTACTAATTAAGAGGTCTCTTGGTTTTTGGTACTGTTTCTCTCCCTCTATGTGTGAAACTTGCAAGCTGCTAATTGTGTTAGTACATTCTAAGACAGAGTCTGTTCTCAAAGCAATTTACAGAGAGAGAGACTCAAAGCAATACTCTAACAACAGAAACAACACCCAGAGACTCCCCACCCTTTTGTTGTATTAACAATTGTGATTAAAATAGAGATAGAGGATGTATGTGGATGGATGCTTGGTGTGGATAATAACTGAATGATCAGGGAGGTGCCAGCCTAAGAATCCAGTGTCCATCGGCTGAAGAAGGCGTCAAGTGGAAATAACCAGAGGACCCCCCGGAGGGCAGACTGGAATCCACCCAACAGCCTCAAGAATGGGAGAACCAAAGAACAAGATAACATCTTGGAGCCGTCAGGAATGTGCTATCTGCTGATTGATTCAGCAACAGCATGATGAAGCAATTCCCATAGACTGGCATAGGAAGAAATTCCTATAAGAATAGACTCTAAAAAGTGAGAACTTTGGGGGGGGGTCTGATTCTGCAAACCAACTTCCAGGAGCATCAGATGAGCATCTGACAAGGCCCTGCTCCCTCCTCATGTCCAGGCCACCTGGCCAGTGGCTTGGCATGAGCAACTCTTAGGCTGGTAACTATAAACCCCTATGCAGAACTGGTATGAATGAATGAATGAATGAATGAATATATATATATATATATATAGTTAAGCAAGGAATAAGTAACGATAGGACAGTGTGAGTTTTATATTTCTTTATTATATTTACAATAAATGTGGCATTTCGCCGTTCCCCTCTAATAAGATCCTGCTGGTTTTTATTTTATTGGTACAACAGATGGGCATATGAAAGGATTCAAGACATAGGAAAATTATTCATATAACTATTTAACTCATTTTGTACTAATTGATTTAAATACTCCAGGTGTTTCATTATTGTAGAATAAGCATGACTGAAAATAATACAGATTTTTGTCAATTAGATTAATTGTCAGTCAAGAGCTTTTCAAATACAATACTGTGAATTGAGCCTTGGGACCCACTTTCTAAATCTCATAAAGTAGCAAATTAATGGCCTGTGTTAATAGTTCAAGTATCTTCTAAATACAAAGAAGCTACTAAATTTGAACTTAGATAGACTATTTTAGGTTTGGGAATGATTCTTTCTTTAGTGAACTGGACCATAGTCCAGAAATATATTAAATATATTAAACAGTCAAAATGTGAGTTAAGTTTGCAGGATTTTGGCCCAAACCTGAATATAAGGTACTAAATTCTGCTCTTTTAGACTGACATAAATCCATTTGAAAACAAGTGCCAGATTTGATAAATGCTTCACACAAACCCAGTTGCCATTGACTTCATGGAGTGCTTTCACACTGAATGCACCATGCTTACCAGGCAGCATGTTAAGAAATAGAATGCACCATGCTTAGAGATCGCATGTAGTTATTTAAAAGTTGCGGACATGATAAAAGTGATTCCTCTGCAATGAAACATTATCACAATGGCTATATGTTACCTTTCATCCAAAGATCTCAGAGTTGAGTTGTATATTCCCATTCTCATGTGAGACATGCCCATTTTATAGAAACAAAGTGAATTTAAAAGAGGTTAACTAAACCCTGAACCGAAGGTTGTGATTGAAGGATATATTTGAAAAGGAAAGCAGTTTGGCTTGTGGCTCTTGACTCCTGGATTCCATTCCTGATTCTGGCACATGCAGTTAGCATAAGTGTGTGACCAAATTGAGTAGCTTTGTCGTTTATGAATAAAACACTCATCACAAACATATGCTGATTAAAACCTTTTTACCTTGCTGATTATTCTGTTTAGGAGCAAATTTTTTAAAAGTGGCCTTTAATTTCAGGTGCTCAGCTTCAGACTGGGTTTCAAAGTTGCTGAACATTCCCAGCTGCCATTAACTTCAACTGGAACTGTGAGTGCTTAGCACCTCTGAAAATTAGACAATAAGTATTTGGCCACTCAAAAGTTGCATTGCCTAATATTTAACTTGGAGAAATTCTATAGCTTGTGTTATGCAGTTGGTGAGTCTTGATAATCATAATGGTCCCTTCTGGCCTTAATATTTATGAAAAAATAAACTGTTTTTGAAAATCTTATTGTAATTATGTCTTACTACTTAGTAATTCCATATTCTTGTGAAGATTGTTAAAAGTAACTTACTGTATTGTTTACAGCTATAATCTGTGTCTGCATAATTTTTATGCATATGTATCTCTGGGAAGAAATGTGGTTTACAGATTACATTCTTTCAATTTCAGATTTTGTACAGCCATGGCATCCATGCTTCAGGATTCTTCGTTGCTTTTGTTATTTCTCTTGTATTAACATGCGTTGCATTTTTTGCTGTTTACAAAACTAGAAGATTAAAATGGAGTTTTCTCAATAAAAACCAGGTGAGTCATATTTTCTACAATAAAACTTTATCTCATCTTCTCATAAATGGTCTCTCAAAATGGTTTCCAGTGTTAAGAAATGCAGTGACTAGCCTGAAATTTTGAAAAGTTGGCAGTGGAAAGATAAATTTAAATATTGTCAGAATCTCAGCTGATGTAAATCTGTATAGCTCCATTGTGTTTGGCGTGGTCAACCTTAGAAGGGAACCTAGGACTGGCCATAATCATCTATCAAATTTTAAAGGTGTTAATCTATGTCTACAGTATGTGTTAAATTGTGTTGAAAAATATATGAATTATTAACACATTTTAAAACATGACCATTTTTCCTAATCTAGACATGCTGATAATAGCTAAATAGCTGTTCTTTCCTTGCTTGCAGTGTGGATTTTGCTGGTGGCCTCAAAATTTAACAGTATACTGTAATCTATCAAATGAGTATGAGGGATAATTGATAATTTGATGGCAAGCTATGTAAATGTGTATGGGTTTGAGCAAATGTGAGTTTTATGCCTGGAAGGAGGGAGGTGGTAGTAAAGCCAACCCATACCTCCTTCATACTAACTGCAGGCGTGACTGTGTCTTATTTCCTAAACTGGAAGATTTAACATGATGTTTCTTTTTGGCTCACCTATTGACTTCTACAACTTAAAGCTTTCTCACTGTTTTTGCTAAATCTCCAGGGTGAATGGCTGAATGAAGGCTTTTAGAAAGGTTTGTGGTATATGTAAAGTAGGATTTTTGTTGTTGCGGGGGGAGTGTTTGTGTGTGTGTGTGTGGGGGGGAGGCTGGCTTGGAGGCTGTTTTATTCCTTCTGTCTGAATTAGGTTTAAATCCAGAAGAGCCCGTTAGCTGTAGTTCCCTGGGGCAAATATTGTACTACAGCAAATCTGGAGGACACCAGATGGGCACCACACTGGGACAAATATACTTCGGAGAATCCTTTGATGCTTTGGGTTTGGTTCAGGACACTAGAACTTGGAGAACAGATTTATTCAACCTAGGGGAAGCTGCTGTTGCCTAAGGGTCTTCCTTAGTTTTTGCTGGTGGGTATGGTGCTTGCTGCTATCTGCTATAAAATGGCTACTTTCATCACACGTTGTCTGAAGTATTCATTTTAGTCTGAGACTGACTGACTGAAGGGGATAGGGAGTTGCCCAACACTAAAGTCCAGTGGAGGCGGGTGACACAGGGAGGGCATACCTTAGATGGGACGCAGAAAAACTGTATGGGAAAAGTACAGTAGTACTTCAGAGTTACGGACACCTCAGGAACGCAGTTTGGGCTTCAGATCCAGCAGCTGACACTCCAGGCCAGGATTCAGCAGCAGCTGAACAATCTAGTCAGCCCCAGCATGAGTTTGCAAGCTTGTCCCTGTGTGTGTGTGTGTTGTCCCCCTCCCCGTGCTGCTCCTGGTCTGCTGTCTCAGGCTGCCTTGGGCTGGCAGCCCCAGTGTCTTGTTGTAAGTGGCTGCCCCACGAATGGGGGTTGGGTGGGGACAGGTAGCCCAGATGTGCCTACCTTTAAGATGCAATAGAGGCACAGTACAATACTTGCTTTGTTTTTTTAATCTCTGCTGCTGCCTGATTGGTTACTTCCGGTTTCACAGGCTGTCCGGTTGCCAGGTCAGTCTGTAATTCTGGTGTTCGTATCTTTGAGGTTCTACTGTAGGTGATTTGAGACTCCTGTTCTTGGGGACAGAAGTTCTGGGAAGTGTTCCTGTGCAGCATATCAAATTTCAAAGGCCCAGAGGGCCTAGCTGGCACCAGTTTATTTTGCTGAATTCCTGTATGTACTTTGATTTGTACAAATGTGCAATATTTATTTCCCTTGTCTTAGTGAAAATGACTGCGGGCCTTGCAACCTTGTTTTTTTAACCAACCATTCTTAAAGGCAAAATGTAAAGCAAAAAATAATTAATTTTAAAAAATCCCCTTTCTCCTTCTTTGTGATATACAAAGAATGTCTCAAACTCTTTTTAAGTTGCTTTGTTCTACTTTTCACCATTTACTGTAATTATTTAAATTAAAATATTAGGTTTTCATGACCCTCTCTTTGCTCAAGGATCTTGGCAGGATCTTTGAAGGACCTGGTTAGTGACGTTTCATAATGCTGGAACCTCTCCATCTGCCAAAAGAAGGGCTTGTCTACCCATCACGGCAATGCACATTGGAAGGGTGTGAATTCTGAAGCACACCAGTGTGCTGCGCACTAACTGGCCCATGTAGACCTTGCTGGGCCACACTAAAATGTCCCAATGCATGTTAACATAGTGCTGTTGAGGCCTACGTGGGCCAGTTAGTGCAAAACATGTAGTGTGCGTTAGAATTCACACCCCCTAGTGCACATTACTGCACACTGTAGGCAAGCCCTACAGTTTGTCTACACTTGCACTGTACCCTGGGTCCATGTACTGCTAGGACATGTACCCCATACCAATGCCAAGTGTCCTCATATGCTATGCTGGGCACAGGTATATGCTTGTATCCACACTGCCCCTTTTTGGTATGCAGTCGTAGCACTGCCATTTCCAGGTAATATCCCAGAGTCCTGTGCGTCACAGGAGACACTCTGGGAATCACCTTGCTGCGTGTTCCTGGTCCTGTACGCCTCCTTCACATGTTTGTTGATGGCAGTTCCCGGTCATCTCTTCCTTCTGCCTAACTGTGTTGAAGAAATTAAGCAAGTCCATGATGATGTGGTTCTGCTCCTGTTCGCAGGACAGATGGTTATGTGGTGCAGTGCCGGATTCTTAACGGAATGGGTTCAGAAAAATCGGAGATGACAAAGACAGCGGACTGAGAGAGTGAATGTAAATCCACTGGGGTCCCATGGAACAGATGCTTTGCATGGTGGGAAAGCAATGGTATTCCCATGGGTGGACCTCCACTTGGGGCCTTGGAGAACCAGCATGGTATGTGGGACCACATCATCTTGGAAACCTGGGATGATGACCTGTGGCTGCAGACCTTCATGGAGTTGTATGAGCATCTTGCACCAACCCTCCAGCACCAGACCATTTGATTTTGGAAACCCATACCAGTGCAGAAGCTGATGGCTATTGCCTTAGAAAGCCAGAAACAACTGATAGCTACCTGTCCCTTCCCAGCCCTGTGAGGGGTTTTGGGTGCCAGTTGAGTATGTAGTGCTAGGCATCCAGCATGCTCTTCCCGGTGAGGTGGTGGGTGGGATTTGTAGCCTGGGCAGCAGCTGGATGAGGAGGAAAAGCTGCCCGATTCCAGAGAGGAGCAACAGCCATGGTGGCAGCAGGCCCCGAAAACGTTCTATCACCAGTTGTACCAGGGAGTGCATGGTCCCATTTCCTCTGGGCATACTCCTGCTCCATGAACTGATTTGTGAGAGCCTCCTCCTGCCTAAGAACCCAATCCTCCCTTGTCCTAAAGCACTCAAATTGCTCCTGACTCCTCCTGTCAGTGCCAACGAGCAGGTCTTCCGGGATCCTTCTCAGTCTTCGTCTGCTATCTCTGCAGTGCCTGGTGGAATGGGTTCCCTGTTGGCATTGGAATGTCCTTGCAAGTCAAACACAAGCCTAGCATTCTCTGTCATTTCTCCTTTGAAGGAACCTAAGAACTCCCCCGCCACGTATCATAGCTTTGCTGCCTAAGGCCACAATATTGATACTTTTTAGCATCCCAGAAATGCCTCCGTCCTTCAGACTATTTTTGTAGCCCAGCAGGAACCAGCTAAGCCTAAAAGTGAAGTACAGTTGTTAAAATGTTGCACGGTTTACAGTGCATCAAGGGGCTAATTGGGGTGGGGTTTGGTGCCTAGTTACCTATTTCTTCATTAAAGGCTGGCCATCATTTGGAGAACATAAGTGTTCAAGGTACCAGAATGGAAAAAAGAACTCCTTCCAGTCCTGTGGAGGACACCTAGCCACCAGTGCTGGAGAGATGTTCCTGTTGATGGTCAACGCTATACATATTGCTCAGTGGAGAAATGTGATGAGCTACGAAGGTGGACCAAGTACATTTGTCCTTTCATTAAACCTGAAGAACCAGCTTGAATTTCTTCTAGACTGAAAATTTGCTGAATTATGCTTACAGGACTGGGAGGCAATTCGAGAGGAGATTGACCATATTCTCAGCTAGTGGAAGAGGTACAAAGAACCACAAAGAATGTCAACACATCCCCCCAGCCTCCGCTTCATCACCAGAAAGTCTTGGCTCCTGTGTCCAGTAAACAGTATTTGAAAGGAACATAGAAACATAGCACCACAAGTGTATTTTCTTCCCAGAACTTTTGGATTAGAACCACAAGCCAGTTGCCTCTATATTGCTAAGGGACGAGATGCTGTGTTTGTGGAACCATGAGAGTGGATGCTTCAGCCACCCACCCCCACTTCTCCTGGCTTCTGCAGAGTGGCTCAGCACAGAGAGAGGCCACACACCAGGGTCTGGGAACAGTAATAAATATTTGCAGTGGTCACAGGGAGAATGGAACACACTGACTTTCCTCAGACAAACAAACAGTTCCGTTTCCCTTCCCAGACCTAGGCAGGCCCTCACCAACCCTCCCACCCCCACACTCTCCTGTTTGGAAGGGGAAGGAAAGAGGGGGTAGGGAAGGAGGTGGTTTGGGGTCTTTGGACAATCATAAATGTCATAAAATGATTCTTTCCCCACCAGCAGAGGTGAAAGTAAGCTGGTACGTCCCTGTACGGCGTACCGGCAAGAGTCGGAGCATTGTACTGGGGCAGCCAGGCTTCCCCAGGGGGCAGTTTAAAGGGCCTGGGGCTCCGAGCAGTGGCTGGAGCCCCAGGCCCTCCTTAAACTGCCTCCAGACTGGTTGGAGCCCTGGGGTAGCGGCTGCGGGGCTCTGGCAGCTATTTAAAGGGCCTGGGGCTCCCCTGCTTCTACCGCCCCAGCCCTTTAAATAGCCACCGGAGCCCCGCTGCCGCTACTCCAGGGCTCCGGGGGCTATTTAAAGGACCGGGGCGGTAGAAGCAGGTGAGCTGCAGGCCCTTTAAATAGCCCCCAGAGCTCTGGGGTAGTGGGGGCTCCAGGGGCTATTTAAAGGGCCGGGGCTCCAGCTGCCTCTGCCACCCTAGTCCTTTAAATAGCCGCTGGAGCCCTGCTGCTACCCCAGGGCTCCGGCGGCTAATTAAAGGACCGGGGCAGTAGAAGCAGGGGAGCCCCAGGTCCTTTAAGTAGCCCACGGAGCCCTGGGCTGCTGCTGCTACCCTTGGGGAGAGAGGCACTTACCTTACAGGATGGGCTGGGGCTGGCTCTGACCCCCTCAGCCCCGCCCTAGGCCCCGCTGGCCCCAGCGTACTGGTAAGTCACTGGACTTACTTTCACCTCTGCCCATCAGGTCCCCTCTTTCCCTCCCTTTTCCCCTCTGGTCCATGTGGCCCAATGACTGTCGCTGTTCAGACACAGGGGCACAGTGACTGCATATTAATAATCTGTTATAGCTTCCTCTAAATGCTTTATGATGGTTCATGGGTTTTCAATAAAATCATTGATTTTACAGCTGTCTTGCTTGGGGACCATGTCGTGGTAGAGCATGGGTGGGGCATGGTGAGGGGGCTGGCTTCAGGTGTGTATTACCAGAGCAAGAGAGGCTATTTCCAGGGAATAAATCCTTACCAGCCTTGGATTCTGATTCCTGCTGCAGCTTGGGGCTCCCTTGGCGGGGGGGGGGGCAGCTTCCTCAATCGGGTCCACCCGGTAAAGGTGCAGAATAATGTGCTCCTCTTCCTCTGAGGTCCCTGCTGCCTCCTCACCCTGCCCCTACTTGGCATCCGCTCGTACAATGAGGCTAGCGGGATTGAGGAAACAGTCATGATTTACTGTAGTCTCAGTTCTCTCAGCCTTGGAGAGCACCCAGGCCAGGCCCCAGTGGAGGCGTATATACCCACACCCCTCATGCATGCTAGCTTTCCTGCACTATGCTATCTTTCAGGACTGTGCTTCAGGGCTTCAGATGTGAACAATAGGGGTGAAATATGGAACAACAACGCACATGTACCAGGTACAGTTGCAACTGTAGACATACATTTCGACTAAGGTTCACCTAGAGATGATGATCTGATATTTCAAATATAATCCTCCACATTACAGAATAAACCTTCAAGAAAAAAGTATGCAAAGCCATCTTTATATATCAGAAAGGAGCAGCAAAGGGAGGGAGGGAACAATGTACTGTTATTTTGTCTTTGCAGTTCACCTTTTCTAAACCATTCTTTCAGTGTCTTTTTTTGAATTTTTGTGTCTCGTAAGCTTCTGCTGGAAGAGTTCTGCAAGTGGTACAGAGAAGGATAGGCATGTGTCCTATTTACATTTACAATAAATACTGCATTTATTATAAAATAATGGCTTACTAAGAGAAAGAAAGTTCCATACGTATCAGTGTGCATTGTGTTTGAAAAATGGCTCTATTAACTTTTTCATTTCTCTTAATTCAGAAAAAATCACAGAAAGTGAAAATAGCTCACGTCAGTCTCCCTTTTACAAATAAGGCTTGATGCTGAAATCATAAAAGTGTAACAGAATCGTTCCAGCACCAGAGGTTTATAAAGGTTTTCTTGTCTGGTGAATTTATTAATCCTTAATCTCAAGAGAATCCATAGGTACTGTATACTATCTGAACCGCTTTTCCTCTTCCATAGAATCATGTGCTAATTTCTGTTGATGGAAGCAAGCTACAGAGCTCTTCTTTAGGTTTGGGGAAGAAGAGCTTTGTGTGGCTCCAAAACTTGTCTCATCCACTTACAGAAGTTGGCCCATTTGAAAGATACTACCTCAGCAACCTTTTCACATCAAATGCCTGGTATCCTGGGACCAACATGAGTATAACAACACTGCAAACATAGAATTATGTGTGATTTTGTTCAACAAGTGTATATAAAAGGTTGTATGTACCATAATACAAATAGAATGGTCCTAGAGATTTAGAATGGAAAATAATTCACTGAGGCTGGTCCAAAGCCTATTGAAGCCAATGGATAGACTCCTATTGACTTCAGTGGGCTTTGGCCCAAAATTTTAAAGCTGTTTAGGTGTTGCTGTGCTTAGCATTGCAATGCCTAACTGATTTAGGAGCCTAAGAGCTAAGAGCCTAAATTCCATTGATTGTTTTAATCATTTAGGTTCCTGCTCAGTTATATACCAAAACATAGCATCCACACAAACTCCTGTTGAAGTAAATGGGAGTCTTTCCACTGACAACAATAGGAGTTGTATCCACACTAAGGGTTGATCTGCTATAATATAACGTTTCTTTTTTTGTGTTTACTTAGGAGATACGATATGATCCTACTCTAGATCGCAAACTGGAGTATTCACAGTTGAATTCAGGAGATCTGTTTAATGAAGATATCATTATGAATGACCAAATCATTGAGATACTGGCTTTTGAAGACTCAGGGAACATGCTTCAAGCTTTAGAAGAGTAAGAAGTCACTATTATTGCATTATACTTCATATCAACAAAATGTCTCATAAAGATGATACTGAATATCTGCCCTGTAGTTCTCTCTGATGGAGTCTCTTCAGACACGCGTCTGCACTACCTGAAGCTGTTGACCCCTTTAATAAAGGGGCATCCATGGTAACTAATACAGGCATATTGTACATTGCTTTATATATAGAAATTGCAGCTCAGTCTAGATCCTGTGCACATGTTTTCTGAGTCAAACACACTGTAAGGGCTCGTCTACATGGCAAGTTAGTGCATTGCAAGCCAGGGTGTGAATCTACAGTGCACTAGTTTGCTGTGCACTAAATGGCCTCATGCACCCTACCGCACACTGGAGGTTCTATAGTACGCTTAGATGTACTCCCATGAAACGTTTACTGTGCCTGTCGCAGGGTCCATGGTGGAGGGGGTGCTGTCTTTCAGTTATTAAAAATCCTATCATCCTTCTCATCCGCCCAAGAGCAGTGGATTTAGCTTGGGTGTCCAGACAAATTCCAAATAAGGTAATGACACTCTGTTAACCTAAAGTTTACAGTGCACATAGTGAGGGGCAAGGTAGTGTGCGGTGGATTCACACCTTGGCTTATGGCGCCCACACTCCCTGTGTAGGCAAGCCCTTCGTTAAGGTGCTAAAAGAACAAATCCACTATTTCTGGTCTCAGCCCCTTAAGTGTTCACCATGCCAAAGGGTACTTTTCTGAGCACAGGAAAATGTTGTAGAGAGTCTGTTCTGTTATTCTTGAGCACATTTTGCCTTTAGAACAGCATGGCCTTGTTCCTACACAGAAAAAGGATGTGCTCTGCACATGTATATTTGTGCAGCAGTATTTCTTGGAAAAAATTTTTTTTAACGTTCATGGGCCTTTAAATACCTGGATCAGAATCTAAAGAGCAACAATTTGCAGCTTTCAAAGGAAAATATTGTGTTTGTGGAGTCAGAAAAGGCAGTAGACAACAGCTAGGAATCCTGCTTATTTTGTTGAAAGGGAGGTCAGGATTATATGACAGACACACAGCTATTAAAGGTCATTTCTTTTCTCTGGCAGAACTTGAAAAAGGTCTGTTGTGAGAACAGAGTGGATTTGTTTGTGCAATCTCATGATGACCTTCCTGAAAGTCAAGTGGCAGGTAATATTCTGCAAATAGAAAATAAAAATGGAATAATGTCTGTAAAAACCAAAAACAAAGTTATGAGAGTGCTGGAATATTGATACTTTGGCAGGGAAGGGTTTTGTTCTTTTTCTAAAAAGTTACAAAATCCTAATGAGCAGTATCATTGCCTTTCTTATATTTTGATTCAGATTGAAAAAGGAAGTGAAATAAATGAAACCTTGACTTGTGTAATGCAGTGATAATGTGGATACTCATCCCTGTAAATTGCACAGCAGGTCTTGTCTTTTCTAGCTATATAGTAACTTATATTATTTTTTCAGAAAATTGCTGTGTGATTGTTAAGAGTGGCAGGATCAAATATCTTTGTAGCTCATTTTAGGATTAGTATATTTCATTTAGAAATGAGAAATATTTGGCTAATTTGAAAAAGAAAGTAAACTCTTTAATGTCTTACTTCTCAGATATAAAATATCTCGGAAAGGTAAATATTCTTGCAAATGGAATGTTTGTGTAACTAGAATCAGACAGTGGATTAAAGCCTCAGTTTGTGTACATTACTTAGGAATGTGCTATTTTAATATCTTCATTGGCTTAAACAAATCTTTGTCTGTCTTTGCCCTTCACCTCTTTCCTCCCAAATTATTTTTCTTATTCTCCCTTCCATTTCTATGTTCTTATAGCTGCACTCCCTCATTTATCTCTCCCTTTGCCCAACATCCTTCCCCAGGTGGACAGTTTGAATCTGTATAATTATTTTAACTGGGTTTTTTTTATCATAGTGTTTAAGAAAAGTGTTTTACAACAATAGTAGAGTTATTATACAGAGCACTGTTCATGTAGTTAAGCTCCATTGGACCAGAGGAGGTCTTCTAAGAAGTCCTTGTGACAGGCTCTTTGGAGTGATGGTTGGTCACAGGGCAGACTATGCAGGTAAATCATGTAAGTGACTTAATACCCAATGTAACTTAGGTGCCTAAGTCATGGAGGTGATTTTGAAAATATTACCCTGCAAGTGGTGGGTGAGTTGGTGATCGATTTTAAAACAAAAGTGCAAAGAATGCCCTGCCCTTTGAAGATCCAACAAGAAAATAACAGGGTTTGCTCCAGCCATAGTGCCTAAAATAACAGCGGGGAAAGGCCTTTGCAAGTTAAAAGACTGACTGAGTTACTGAAGTCCTCAAATCTTGATTAAAGACTTCAAGTGACAGAGACTCCACCATTTACTCTAGTCCAAACCAGCGAGTGACACAGGCCCCATGCTGCAGAGGAAGGCAAAAAACCTACAGGATCTCTGCCTGGGGGAAAATTCCTTCCCAGCCTCAAATATGGTGATCAGTTGTACCATGAGTATGTGGACAAAACCCACCAGCCAGATGTCATCAGATGTTTGGCTGCGTGTGTGTGTTCTCTCTGCATGCTGTACTGACTCTGGCCAGATAGCCCGTACAGCAGGCTCCGACCGAACTGCCCAGTAAAGCCACAGTTTTCAGTGAAGGCACTTGGTCAAGTTTATTGTCAACGAAGCCCCAACCTAGTGCCGTGGCTCAGTGGTTCAGGTATGCTAACACATATATGCCCGTTGCAATGGACTAGCTCAGTTTGTGGCGGGACTTTCCACTATCCCCTAACCAGCCAAAGACACTCTCTCTGAGACTCCACTTTATACGTCAATACCAACAAGTTATGTACTGCCCCTCTAACATAGCCGGTTACCACCCATCAGCTTATATATTTCTATCCATCACCCTGTCATCCTGACCTTATCTTTAGGATGGGTCAGCCTGTTCCTGTTCTCTTTAGGGAATGTGTTGGTATCGAGGTGTTCTGATACCACCCTTCTGGAATGTGTTTGCGTCAGTGCTCTGGGCCTCACACCTCTGAGGAATGTGTGTTTTTGCAATATCAGCCCTGTTACTCATCATCCCGGAAAAGCATAATGCATGGACTGGAGATGACCCAGTGGACTAAACACTGTTATGTGGTCACCTTATTTTACCATCAATACATTCATGCCCCATCTGTCCCTTGGTCTGCACAATCGCTTGTATGACTGATGGACAGATTTTATTTGCCAATTGTGTCTAGTCCCTTATGGTGAGCCTGGGAATGTTAGGCCTGGGACTTTGAGGAATGTAGTTTTATGATTGAGCCTTGGGGACACACCCAGATAATTAACACAGCTAAGTAATATGGCTATGATGTGTATATATTTGTAGTGTATATGGGTATATATGTATAGTATGTATGTGTACATAGGACACCACCTTATTTCCAAGCATAACAATTTTTTTCCAATCTGGGGTTGTAGTCTGTCCCTTTTACTCTGGTGCTGCAGATAGCAACACACTCCTATTAGGGCAATTACAGTTATCACCTGTATCCTCATTAGTAGTAGACTGAATGTTTGAAATACTGGGATAGGCATTGTTATAGTGTGTCCCACTGTGCTACGTTTCTAAAAAGTAAAACAGAAATTTGAATAGTGACATTACAAATGAGGCCTTTATATATAAATGTTTTGTAATTAGTTACTACACAGTACTGTCCATTCATGTTATAGGTTACCCTTACTGCTGGTTGTCATCTTCTGGTAAACTTCACAAGGCAGGAAGCAGGAATGTTTAGCTTCTCTGTTCTGTTCCATGGGTTGCATTGTTCTGTGATACACCAGTCGTTGACGTAGATCCAGGTGTTTCTTATGGATGCTGTCTTCCAGATAGCCTACTGAATGGACAGTAGCCAATTTATTAAATATTTGTGTGTCAGGATTTAACGTTGGTATCCAGACACTGAACAAGATTGTTTTGAATAACGTGTGCCTTACTTAAGATCCAGTGTCACTGACCCAAATTATGTCTAATACTAAGAGGGAATTTATTTACCCAATTTGTAGTTACTGTGTAACTTAATTATTTTACCAGGTTTTTTTTCTTGCCTTCATGTTGTACGCTGCCATTCATTTCTTGATTTTTATTTGTGTGTTGGTTAAACAGTTTAGCAATGTTATGCACAGTGTAAATGTTGTACAGCAACAATACAACAATAATAAAGCAATACAGCAATAATACAGTTGCTTTTAAACAGTAGCCAAATTCAAATTAAATGACAGTTTAATCTGGTCCAGCTCATGGCTTCTAGCTGATTGCCAACTTAATTGTCCAAGTATGGTAGACTGAGGTGTAGTTGACCAGTGTGTTGTTTACAAAGCACTTCATTTTTATTTTCTTAATGACTGGGGGTTTCTTTACCGTGTACTGATATCTTTTGCTGTCTTCAGGGTATGATATTTTCTGGTGTCTTTGGTCTGTGGGATGCACCCTTAAACATTCTCTTGACGATTTTTGTGACCAATGATAAATATCAGTGTACAGCTACACAAATTAATACTAGGATAGAATATTAACGTTGGGCAGTCCAGTTCAAGGATGGAGATTTAAAAAGCTGAAAATAGAGCGATCGCATTTGTGTTTTACTACTGAACTGTCACAGCTGCAATTCCAATGGACTTTATACTGAAAATGAATGTCTTCTTTACACCAAATTAAAACAAAAAACAAATTCTAGTTACTTAGGGGTCTGATTCTCCACTGCTTTATTTATTTGTATTACGGTGACATCTAAGAAACCTTACGCCTTGTGTTGTCGTACTGCTGCGAAGTGGGTACGTAATGCTACCAAATTAGAAGGGCTGAGTTTTACACCACTCTGCGTATCAGTAAATGGCTATGCAAGATGTACGGCAGTGGAGAATCAGGCTGTACTTGTATAACAGGAACTGGCAAATAGGCTGATATTCAGAATTGGGGTGAAATTCATATACGGGGTCGTATTTTGATGAAACACGCATAACTTTTGTGTGC